CGCAAAAAAAAAAGAAAAAGAAAAAAGACAACTAGAATAAAATAAAAACATTATGCGTACGCAAATTAAATCATGTTTTGTAGAGCATGAAATAATTGCTCATATACCATGATGGCTAAGCCAATGAGAACTCTTGAATTGCATTGTCCAATGATCTAGTTTGCTGTTAGTAACCACTCAAGAGTGTCCTATTGGAAATCCTCGAATCGGATTGGTTCTCTAATAATCACTGTTGGAATAAATCTACTGGTAGCGTTCTATCACGAATGCCGTTCCCTAATTGACTATACTACACTCACTTTTTATTCTGTTAAGGGAGGTGCATAGTAGTGTGCGTTTGTTATTAAAATAGAGGCCGTTTCTTTGCGTCTTCAAAGTGTCTGTTAAGAGGATTTAGATAAAGCAGTTTTAAAACAGAGTTTTCATTCTGAGAACGCATCAAATGTTTTCCGTCCACACTACGCCGCAGAATTCTAAAAACGCAACAATCAGCGGTCATTTTGGATTTGTGTTTGAGGAAAACTCGATCACGGAAATCACATGATATCGTGACCTCGTCCTTTTCGGAAAGCTACCTTTTTAAAAATGGTTTTTGTCCACACTAAAACTGAAAGCCAACTAATTGTAATGTTTCCAGTGACATTGGACACAACCAGAACCATATAAAATTGAGATAGGTAAGTAGAATTAGGTATCTGTTTTTACAGCAAGATTTCCTATACTCTTTTTTTAAAATTAATACTCATTTATCGGCCNATGCGTACGCAAATTAAATCATGTTTTGTAGAGCATGAAATAATTGCTCATATACCATGATGGCTAAGCCAATGAGAACTCTTGAATTGCATTGTCCAATGATCTAGTTTGCTGTTAGTAGCCACTCAAGAGTGTCCTATTGGAAATCCTCGAATCGGATTGGTTCTCTAATAATCACTCATGTTAAGTATATATGAAATAATTCATATTTGAACTGCGGTTGTAGATGAAAGTGAAGAATGATCATCGCAGTAAATTTTCCAATTTAAGCAATTGGAAATTGCAGTTGTACAACCGCAGTTCAAATATGAATTATTTCATATATACTTCACATCATTTCACTCCTCACGGGGAGATATGAACACAATTAATTGACCTCGCTCCCAATGTGTGGCTTCGATAGCTCAAGTGGTAGAGCATCGCACCGGTATCGCGGAGGTCAGGGGTTCGAATCCCGTTGAAGCTCTGATTTTTTCAGGCTTGTTCTTTCCAATTGCTTAAATTGGAAAATTTACTGTAATAATCTCTGTTGGAATAAATCTACTGGTAGCGTTCTATCACGAATGCCGTTCTCTAATTGACTATACTACACTCACTTTTTATTCTGTTAAGGGAGGTGCAGAGCAGTGTGGGTTTGTTATTAAAATAGAGAGGCCGCTTCTTTGCGTTTTCGAAGTGTCTGTTAAGAGGATTAAGATGAAGCGGTTTTAAAACAGAGTTTTCATTCTGAGAACGCATCAAATGTTTTCCGTCCACACTACGCCGCAGGATTCTAAAAACGCAACAATCAGCGGTCATTTTGGATTTGTGTTTGAGGAAAACTCGATCACGGAAATCACATGATATCGTGACCTCGTCCTTTTCGGAAAGCTACCTTTTTAAAAATGTTTTTTGTCCACAACATGAAAACTGAAAGCCAACTGATTGTAATCTTCCGAAGCAAAAGTTTCCAATGACATTGGACGCAACCAGAACCATATAAAATTGAGAGAGGTAAGTACAATTAGGTATCTGTTTTTACAGCAAGATTTCCTATACTCTTTTTTTTTTTAATTAATACTCTTTTTTCGGCCCATTCTGAATATTCGTAATTTTTATATTGATGTGTTGCGATCGTTTGTCCTTGGCTTTAAATAAAAACCCAGCATGAGTTCATGATCGGAAATCGTTGATTTCCAAGAATAACAAATTTGTAGGGCTCACTTTCCAAGATAGAAACACGAGATATTACTGTAAAGTTTGAGGTAACAATCTGTCCCGCATGGAAAGCGCGAAACAGAGCTTATACTGGCAAATCTCCAAGATGGCCGGACAAGCCTTGGAACGAGAATTTTGTCCTCATTTTGCAGCTTGTTTCCAGAGCCTTGGTTACCCTTGTCCAGCGGAACGGTCTTCGTTTTCCCGTTCCGCTGGACAAGATCCCGGACAAAGGTAACGAAGGCTCTAGGAACGAGATTCTTCCAGACTCTAATCCTACCTTGCGCGCGCAAGAATATTATGGAGTGTCCGCCATCAGTAACGTACAGTGAAACCTGTATTAAGCGGACCCCATATTAAGCGGACAACCTCTATTAAGTGGACACCAGCTTGAGTCCCTAAATTTTCTCTCCACATTTATTGTAAAATAAACCTGCATTCAGCGGACACCTCTATTAAGCGGACGCGGACAGCAATATTAAGCCATTTTGTTGCACAAAACCTGCAATAAGCGGACACTTCAAAGGCTGTTACTTTTAAGAGCTCAGCTTAGACTCCTTTAACATTATTTAGCGATGTCGTTTTAAAGCTAAGTGATTATTCCAGATTGATGCATTGAGTGACTGGACATTGTGCCATGAGCAGGGTACTGAACCCAAACAGGACGGTTTGATTCATTTTCCCAAAATAACTTTACACTGGTAGTCTGGAATCACCGATATTCCACGATATCATT